CTTGAAAATGGAACAAAATTTAAAATGAATAGAGAAGAAAAGTAGTAAAGGTTATGGATCTGAGTAATTATAAAATGGATAGTTTGCATGTAATACCTTTGGTACTTCCTTGATTTGTTTTTGGATGAATAACATTTAATCTATCAAAATATCTTCTTCTTCCTCTTCATCTTTGCTCGCCATTTGTGCGAACTCTAAATATTGAAAGAGTGCTCACACACTATTATCTCTCTTGTTGCTCGAAAAGGGGTAGCTTTTGATTGAAATTCCATGAACCTACCCTTTATATAGATCTAAACTGAGGTGGACCTGAATAGGATGAAGAAATGTGTGATACTGAACTGAAATTTTTTTATTATTTTATTTTTCAATTGAATATTAGATGAATTTAAAATAAAAAAGTAATTGATGTTAAATTAAATTAAACTTAAAACAAAATTAAGGGAAATGTTTGGTATAAATTTTTAGTTTTTAATTAGTCTAAATATGAGAATATATTTATTTTTCATCTTTACTTACATTGATATTCAAGACACATCATTTTCGGTAATTTTTTCCTATATATTTTTTATTAACTTTCCTAATTCTCAACTTATTAGATTTTTTTAAGATTAAATAAATATTTGTATTTAGCAATAATTACATTTTTATTAATATATATATATATATATATATATATATATATATATATATATATATATTAATAAGCATTTAGTAATTTTTAAAGTAACTGGTATCTCATAAACATTGAATTTAATAATATTATTAATTATAATAAAAAATATTGACTGTAAACAGATCCAAAATTAAATGATATTTAAACGCACACATTAATGATTTTAATATATTAATTACTGTGTAATGTTAGTTATAACTTCTATAAATATAATAATTAATGTATTTATATTAAACGTATAGTAACATGTACAAACGCGTAATATTAATTATTTATCATATTTATTAAATAGTATTATATAGAATTAATTTTTTAAATAATATATTTAAAACAAAAATCATAGGGGTGATTTAAAATCTTTAGGATTAGAACATTGTAAGAAATTTAGGAATTTAGTAATAAGGTGGAAGGAAATAATCACTCTTTCCAAGGAAGACACCTCACAAAGGATGTGAGAGTCATTTGATACAATCAAGGATTCTTGAATCACTTAAGAATTTAGGAGAATCACTCTCACTAAGACAAAAGAGATAAACTCTAATATTTCTGAATAAAATTTCACTTGTTATTTTTGATAAAAATGGTTCAGCCTATATAGAAGTTTTACCATCAGAATTACAAAGATTCAATAAAGAAAAATAAATGCTAATAATGATTCATGAAATTAAAAACTACTTAATGAAGACAAATAAAGGCTAATAATAATTCATTAACCTAGGAATTGATACTACTTAATCACTGATTGTAACTGAAATTGTGGCAACCAAAAGTCAATTAGTTATACACCTTCTTGGTCTCCCAAGGACTGATAACTAAATTTCCAATTGAACCCTTATTATAACTTGCAATAAAACCAAACTAAAGTCCATTAATTAATTAATCCAAAACACAATTTGGTTAACCAACAATATTTGTTGAAGAGTTTCATTTGCTTCCCTTGTTTTAGCCCTTATCATAGGTCATGTTCACATCATTCTCTCCCTCTTGAAAAGGATTTGTCCTCAAATCGGAATCGTCATCTACATAAAAAAAAAAAAAAGATAAGTCTGACAAATTGAATGTAGAACTAACATTATACTCACTTTTTATGGCTAAATAACTGTCCCTCACTTCAGGTGTTTCACTATTCTTTTGATCACTCTTTTTCTTCTCAAGTGTTTCACTAATGCTTTTTTTTTTCTCTCTTTTCTTGAAGAAATTTTTCTCTCATTTTCTTTTTATCTTCACACACTTCTTGTGGACTCAAAGGTTTGAGCACAATCTTTTTGTCTTGGTGCATGAAAGAGATATTGTTGGTGAACCCGTCATGATTGACTATTTTATCAAATTGTCATGGTTTCCTCAAAAGTAAGTGACTGACCTCCATAGGAACAACATCACAAAGTACCTTGTATTTTCCAATGAAAATTTTTACTTCAATTTGCTTCCTCACTTACACCTTTCCATCCTTACTAAGCCATTGAAGTTTATAAGACCTAGGATGTGGTTTATTACTAGAAAAATGGTTAATAGTGACCGAAATTAGTAACCGAAAAATTCAGTCATTGATAATAACTGAATCAGTGACTGATTTCCGTTTTATATTTAGTGACTGATTTAGTGACTAAAATTTCAGTCACGGAAATCGGTCACTGATTTGGTCACAAAATCAGTCACTGATTAGGTAAATTTAGCTTTGACACTAATCTAGCACTAACCACATTGGTGCAACTACCTCCATCTATGATCATCATGCACACCTTGTCATTGATTAAATATCTAGTGTAGAAAATGTTTTTTCTTTGGCTTTCTTTCATAGGCTTCAATTGCCCATCAAGTAATGTCCTATTCATTAATAAATCTCTCTTTGGAATCTCCTCCTCCTCTATGTCCTCACTCTTCTTTCTCTCTTCAACCTCATATTCACTCATATATTCTCCCTCTCTAAGAACCATAAACCTTTTGTTAGTGCACTCGTAAGCATAGTGTCATAAACCTTGACATTTGAAACACTTCACATCTCTACTTCTTTTAGAGGGTTGTTCTTCAAACTTTGAAGGAGTCTTTGTAAGAATAGGTGTGGAACTACTAGAAGTAACAACCTCATCTTTCTTGCCTTTGTCCTTCCAACTTGAAGATCCAAAGTTGGTAGAACTCTTCTCAGCCACTTCTTTTCTTTTGAGTTGTTGCTCCACTCGAATATCACGTATATCAATATTCAAACCACCAATAAATCGGGTCATAGTTACCTCTTCATCTTCTTCAATCTTTGCTTGAATCATAAGCATGTTCATTTTCTTGAAATACTCCTCAACCCCCTTGTTGCCTTGAGTAAGTTTTTGGAGTTTAAATTTCAAGTCCCTTGAATAATTAGACGGCACATACCACTTCCTCATGATCCTTTTCATCTCAGTCCATGTATCAACCATTGACTTTTTATTTCTACCTCTCTCCTTTTGTAGCTTATTCCACCAAACAAGAGCATAGTCAGAAAATTCCGTAGTTGCAAGTCTCACCTTTTGGGTCTCCTCATAATTGTTGCATAAGAAAACATGCTCTATTTTCATCTCTCACTTCAAGTATGCCTCCGGATCACTTTTTCCTTTGAATGGAGGAATGCTAAGTTTGACTCCTTCAAGTGTACTTGGTCTTACTACTCTATCACTCCTTCTCCTATTTCTCCTTTCTTCTTCACCTTCACGATCTCTATTCTCAAACCGATTCAATATTTCATTGAGTTCATTGTTATGTCGCATCATTAATCCTTTCAAATGTTGTATCAATGCTCTCATTTGAAATGAACTAATTCCTGCTTCTTGATTGTAATTTCCCTCTTCTGCCATCAATTTGATGTTCAAACCCTTAAACCATGTTTCTAATACCAAGGGGTGATTTAAGATTTTTAGGGTTAGAACCTTGTAAGAAATTTAGGAATTTAGTGATAAGGTGGAAGGAAATAATCACTTTTCCAAGGAAGACAACTCACAAAGGATGTGAAAATCCTTTTATACAGCCAAGAGTTCTTGAATCACTCAAGAACTTAGGAGAATCACTCTCACTAAGATAAAAGAGATAAACTCTAATATTTCTAAAAATAAAACTCAACTTGTTATTTTTGATAAAAATGATTCAGCCTATATTGAAGTTTTGTCATCATAATTACAAAGATTCAATAAAGGAAAATAAATGCCAATAATGATTCATTAACCTAGGAATTGAAAACTACTTAATGAAGACAAATAAATGCTAATAGTAATCCATTAACCTAGAAATTGATACTACTTAATAACTGATTGTAACTAAAATTGTGGCAACCAAAAGTCAATAAGTTATACACCCTCATGGTCTCCCAAAGATAACTAAATTTCCAATTAGGCCCTTATTACAACTTGCAATAAAACCAAACTAAAGTTCATTAATTGATTAATCTAAAACACAATTTGATCAACCAACAATACTTGTTGAAGAGTTTCATTTGCTTCCCTTACTCTAGTCTTTATCATAGGTCATATTCACATAATTACCTAAATAGAATTTTTTAACTTTATTTACCCAACTAGACATATTTATTATTCTTACACAAATTCAATAATAGAAAATAAATTGATATGATATAATATAAACATTTTGCTCTTATTCCTCTCTTTTTTTTCTCACTTCATTTACTTTTTCTTTTTTTTCCTCTATTCTCTCACTTGTTTTCTTTTTTCCTGGTCTTCTTCTTTTATTTTTCTGTCACTTATCTTATTCTTTTAATTAAAAATATTAAATTAAATTTGATAAAATAATTTTTTTTATTATTTTTAAAAAATAAAAATATTTAAATTATCTAAAAATATTATAATTTAATATATTATATTTTAAAAATATTATATTATAAATTTGAGATATTACAAATTATTATATTAAATTATTAAGAAAATACATATCATATCTCTCTTCATAAGTAAAAAAAATACATAAATTTTGTAACATCAATATTAAAACTTTAAAAATATCAATTAATTATTTAAATTACAGTGACGTTAAATAGTTTTATTTATTAGAAAAATAAATAATTTTATTTACGATAACATTAAATATATAATTAACATTTCACATTAGGTATTTAATATATTTTAAAAAAGTATTAACGTATGCATTTAATTAATATTTAATGTTACGTTTGTTCTGACTGAAGACTTCTTGAATTTTAAAATTAATAAAAACAAATAATTCATATTTATCCTTTTCTTTCATCCTACTCATGCCCATGTCAGTTTAGATGTATATATAGGGTAGCTTCACAGGATTTAGAATGAAAGAAAGAGGTATGTTTGAATATTTAGATAGTGAAGAAATAGGGATGAGTGCAGAGGAAGAGGAGGAGGATGAGGAAGATATTTGTGTAGAAGAAGATGATATTATTTATCCCAACATCAAATCAAGGAAGTACCAAAAGGTATTATACACAACTTTTATATGATTATTTTATTTTAATCTCGTAATGGTATTAATTGATTATGAATGTAGGGAGAAGAAAGAAGAGGAAAAAGAGCATGAGAATGCAGAAGTGGTGGGATGGATATGGCTGCTGTCTACCTCTCATCAACATTTTCTTTGTTAAAGAGAATCTGCCGCTATGCAGATAATGTGGTGATTTCATGTTAGAATCTGAATAAGTTTCTAAGTGTCATTTTAACTTTTCAATGTATTGTTCTTTATTTCAGAAAAGCAATTAAGTCTTAAACTAAGTCTTATTTTAGCTTTTCCGTCAACATTTTACACTCAATAAGTGTCATTTTAACTTTTCAATGGAACATTAACAATACTATTAGTATGGTTTATTATTTTTTCACTTTTCACGTGTTTATTAGTTTTTTTTTACAGAAATTTATTAAGGAATAGATGGATTTTTTTTCTCAATTTGTAACAGTGTGGATGGGAAATACATGTGTACCGACTTCTCAATTTTTAACGGTGTGGATGAGAAAATACTTTGTTGATTGATTAAAAAACAACTTCAATGATCTTTAGTTATGACTTTCAAGGTATTGGCAAATCATGAGTGGTTCGGTGGCAAAAATCTGAAGTTTAGACCAAAATTTATGTATTTAATCGAAAGAACACTCCATTTCCTTTTCCATTGTTTAGTGATTCTTCATCGTGTCTTTCAAAAGTTGTTTTCGCGTTAAACATTGAATAAAATTAAAATTGTGCCACGTTGTGGTTTTGCATTGGCAAACTACTCAACCTCTATTTGTTTCCGCTAGCCATCATATACGTGCCCAACAATTTCACAAATTAGTATAGAAGTTGATCGCTTCACCTACGATCCAAGATCCTAAAAGTTTGTAAATATCTTACTCAAATTTTCAATTTTTATCCAATATAAAATTTTAATTCACTCTAAAAGGATTAATATTGCGAAGACATAATTAAAAGAGAAAAGATGATTATATAAAAAAATATCATTTTAATATCATTTTTATTCGATATAAATTTCAAATCATGTTTAAATTCTAACACACTTATCAAGTGTGATTCCATATATAAAAACATTTTTTTTTCCTCAATGAAAACATTCCTTGTTAAGAATTTTAATGGAAACCTTACTAGTATCACCCTTCCATGAATATTTTAGTAATAACCCTTATTTATATTCATAATATATTATGAAACATTACCTATTCATATCTTACTTGTTAAGTTTGTCACCAAGCAAACCATCATCTTTGATACTATTTTGATAGAACAAATAACTACACAATCAAAAGTACCAAACTACAAGCAATGGAAAAAAATGTCCTATCTTGCAAGAATCAACGAGGGTCAATAAAAAACAATAAACGACAATAAAAATCACAAAAAAAACAAAAATTATTTTTAACTTGCAAAAAAAATTTTAATATGAAAAGTAGAATTCTATAAGTACAAGTCTATCAATCAAATTCTATTAAAACAAGGCTACAAAAAGTTTATCAAAAACATACTCATGAATTAGTATATCAAAACTATAAAACTTTCAAATTGAAGAACAAACCTCAAAAATAGAGTTATTGTGTGAAATTCATTTATCCAACCACAAACTTCTAATTTACAATTTAAAACAAAGAAAATGATGTTAAAAACTTAGTACCCAATTTTTAGTTTGATCCAATGGTGAAGTAAAATTTGTAATTTTCTGAAACCGTTCTAAGATGTGAAATAGTTTTTTAGTCCTTCTCTCTTTTTCTCTTTTCCAAAAGTTGTGAACTTAACCTCCTCTCTAAACTTAGCAACACCCTTTGTTTGCTACTTGGATTAAGAGAGACAAAATGAGATTGAGAAATTTAAACTTTTTGAACATAGTTGATAATCCAATCTATATAACACATCTCTGTTTACAATTCACATAATCATGTGAATGTGATTACCAACTTAGCAGTCTCTTAATAAATGTTGAACTTTTTTTATTGTGCCTTAGTCATCATATCAACAAGAATTTTATCTAATTTCAACAATTTAACATCCAAAGCATCATGTATCCAATGATACTTCACATAAATATATTTGAATTTGCAATAAAAAGTTAAATTTTTTACTAATATGAATAACATTTTGACTATGCATAAATAATATATAATCATCATGTACAAAACCAAGATTATGCAAGAATATTTCGACCGTGTAAACTCTTTACATACTTAAGTAATCACATGTTCTCTAAGTCATTTTTGCCCTTAGACAAACTTATTAATTAAGTCATAAGTGTATTATATAGAGATTTCATCTTATTTTATGTTACATTAAATTATTATAGTTTTTTTTTCACTTTCCAATTTTTTTTAAAATGACTAGATTTTCCATCATTAGTTAATGTCACATATTCAATATATTCATTTTTAACATCAATCTCAATATTTTTTTTAGATTGTAGACAAGTAGTATTCAAGATATTCATTTTGAGTATCGATCTCAATATTTTTTAGATTGTGGACAAGTAATTACGTCTTATTACCATAAGTTTTTTTTTTTTTCAACAAGGTTATATAATTTGTAGTCAAATTAATCACAACAATAAAGATACATTGATTTCTCCTTCAACCTTACTTGGATCTTTCATTCTTTTTAGAACATGAGTAAATATATTATAATAGAAGACAAATGATTATAATTAAGATTCTTACAAAATTAAATTTTATCTAATATCTAAATATTTAAAATTCCTGAAAAACTAAAATTAATAACATTCACTTCTACATGGATGTCTCACACATAAATGTTTAGACAAGTTTCCTTCATAATACACTTAATTTTTTTATTTTTTATTTTAAGTAAAACTTTTGTTTCAGAAAAATAAATTTCTCACGTTCCATTCCATTAAGAATAATTCTGTAGAAAATACAAAGCCAATGTTCAATATTATTTAAATACATTTATATTGTTGTTTACTATTATTGAAAACATGTATACTTGTATACTAATTATTCAGGTGTAGATTGGTTGGAGGAGGCCTTATTTAGCCAAATATATCAACCAATCTAATAAAAAGATTTTGAAGTGAATTGATTTGGATGTTTGCATTATTTTTTAATCTATTCCAGTATAACCTATTAATAATCGAGTTTAGTTGAACTGTCTCAAGTGTGTCACAATTTAAAAAAAATGATTAAAATCTTAATTTTAAACATTTTCTTATTTTATTTATAATAAATTATATTATTTACTATTTGAATAATTTAATATATTAATATTTCAAAAATACATATTTAATTAATATAATAATTGAATAATTTATATAATAGTTTATATTTATAATATTATAATATTAATATTATTCAATTATTTTGATGGGTGAATTGACTTAGGTTGATGTTAAACCTACAAAGCTTATAAATTCAACCATTATAAGAAATTAGTTTAGCTTATTATTATGAAATTTAAAAATTTTGTTTAATAAATATATTCATTAATGTTATTGTCTGCATTCGTTATGTGTACTATTTAAAATTAATATTAAATGCGTATTAAGGAAGACAATAATAAATATATTTTTGAAACAATTTTCCTGAAATAATTTTTTTATTCATTACTTAACGTTGAGATGAACAACTGTAGATTACAAAATTGTTACTATATAAAAATTAAATATCTTAATGAAATTAAATATTTTCAATATTAATTATATATGAAAATAAATTAATGCATAAATTAATATATTACAGAAAATATTAATACATAAATTATGGTTATTTCTGTTACACTAATATATTAATGTATGTATTGATTTAGCTTAATAATATATTTAATGATATTACATAAATAATATATAATGTACTCATTAATATATTACATAAATATGTGGTTTAATAATTAAGTACATTAATTTAATTTTCTATTTTAAGTCATTTATACATTATGACATATTTGTTATAAAATTCCCCACATTTTAGAAACTCATCAAATCAATAATACTCATATTAATACAAGTAAAAGTAAAGTTAGTTTAACCTAATGATAGCACGAAAAAAGAGAGAAGAAGAAGACCTTTGGATCTAATTTTTCTATATCTTTAATCTAAGAGTACATATTTAATTTAAGAACATTCCTAAAAAAAACAATAATTATAAAAATTATTTTAAAAAATATCATTTTATTATAAGTATGAATTATTTAAAATTAAAGACAATTTTTCTAAAATTGCAATAAATTATTTATATAAAGAGTTTATTCAATTTTAATATTTAAATAATTTATGTATGTAATTATATTAAAATAATATTTTATTTATAAATAATTCTTGTAAGATATGTCCTAACAAATTTAACTTAATTACTCATCAACAAAATTAACTAATTTTAATTAGTAATGAAGTTTATTTTATAATTGTTTTTATTTTTATATCATAAAAAATAATTTTTGAATTATTTTGAAATTATATTTATTGAAAATAATTTTTAAGTTTAAAGATAAGAATGTTTTTAAAACAGTAGCATTAAATAATGTTTAGAAAATTAGAATTTGAATATATTAAACTATTTCTTTGTTTTTATTTTGCAGTATCTGAGTCCTTATAATTTGAGTACTTCCAAAGGTTTATAAAATCTGAGTGTGGTGATTAAAATGAATCCAATTTTTTCAAATATCATCTAAACAATCTTAAAGTATTATTTCTTTAATTAATTAATGAAGAAATAATAAAATGAAATAGACAAATAATAATATAAAAATATAAAAATACGTTGTTTGGGATGTTTAAAAAAAAGTGGGATATAAAAATCTTGAGATGAATCCACTTCATAGCTGGTGTCTTTGTTCAGAAAGATGTCAGAGAACCCTAAAACGTTGACACACCTCGCCTCGTCCTTGACCAAACACAATGTTACTATCAAGGTTAAGGTTTGCTATCTATACCCCTGTTTAAATGCCAAAGTTTCATCTTTTCATTATTTCAAGGCCTTTCTCTAATCCTCAGTCTCAGTGCTCATTCATTCACAATGCTAATGAAAGTGTTGCTTCATCTAACCTCCCATCATCGAATTTAACGAGATTTTAGGATCCTTGTGAAGTTGAACCACTATCCTACTGCTATTTTCCTTTTTAAACAATTGGAACTAAGGGAAAGGCCAGACCTTTGTGCTTTGAGCGAAGTAGTTATGGGATCTTGATCAATGGGATGCGTAAAATGGGAGAAACGCGAGCTGCCGTGCAATTGCTGAGAAAGGTTGAAGGGGCATTGCTTAAGCCTGATGTGGTAATGTACAACACAATCATTGATAGCCTATGCATGTGAATTGTATTCTGAAATGGCTGTCAATGGCTCTTGCAAGTATAATTTATGGCTTTTGCATTGTGTGTCAATTAGCGGAAGCAATTGGTTTCTTAAATGATTGATCTATTACGTAATGAAGGAAGGGTGAAAGAAGCTAAAAGTGTGTCGAGTATGATGGTGAAACAAGGTGTGAAACCAAATGTTGTTACTTTACAATACTTTCACGGATGACTATTGCTTAGTTAATGATGTGAACTGCACAGTTTGTTTTCAATACTCTGACTCCAAGAGGGGTGACTCCTAATTATAATGTAATGATCAATGGATGATGTAAGATTAAAATGGTGGATGAGGCCATCATTGTCTTTGAGGAAATGCGTCACAATAATATGATTCCTAATACAGGAACTTACAATGCTCTTTATTGATTCTTTGCGCAAAAGAATATCTTGTCTTTGAAAGCTTATTGATGAGATGCAAGATAGAGGTCAACCTGCTTTACGCAAAAACGAGAGTTTAGACAAAACTATTGGACTATTCAAGAAAATTAAAGACGGAATTCAACCGACTAAAAGCATATAGATTGTAAGAATGGTTTTGGTATTGCAATGATGGTCAATTTTTGGTGACTACATACATAATCTTTTTCTTCTCATTGTACTGTAGCTCTTCTCATTGTTTGCATAATCCAAGTTGCCTTAGGTGTGAAGTTGCTGGAATTTGGAGCCATTTCAAAATCTATGGTTTATTTTGTTGGTGATTTATTCAAGGAACGTCACGCTCCAGCTCTGTTCTTATGCTTGGTGATGTATTGCTTCACACTAGACTGGAACCATTTTAAAAATTAATTTATGATTCCTTATAATGACGTCAGGAATCTACATTAACTTGATGATCATCTGATTTTTAGTCTTTTACTAGATAAAAAGAATAAACACATGAAATGTAATCACCAGATGAAAAGAATGAAAACGAGATGTAAAGAAGTGGTTTATCTTTTTATTCGTGGAAGATTTAGATGGTATTTAAATGTTAAGTTGTTTGTGGATGCTCTCATATGATGTTTTGCATACGTACGCTTACTTTTTGTTCTCATTCCTTTCCATGATTCTGTCTTGTGAAAGAGTGCATAAGCAGAAAATGTTATTTTCCCTATTGCTTTGTCCAAAAATGTTGGATTCTAAAGCCTTTGCTCAAATAGGAATCCATGGCCCAAGATCCTTAACTTCTGCCTCTTAATCTGAGATTTCCACTCAATCTCACAGTTTTGAAGTCTTTAAATCAAGTATTTTGTTCAGTCAGTAGCAAATGCTGTTATATGGCCTAAGTAGTGCTGATAAGGCTTAGATAGTGCTCAACTTTTAAGCTAGTTTTTTAGGTTTGAGTTAGGTCTTGAACCCAAATTTTAAGATATATGTATGATGTTTAAGAAGTAGTGACTAAAGAAAAATTTGAAATTCAGTCAAAGCATCAATCTCCCATCTTAGGTTCTGCTTGTTAGTAACCTCACAAGTTATAAGCACTGGGTCAGCAGCTTTCTCCTTGCTCAATGAGTAGTTGGTAAAAATCAGTACAACCATGTTGTGGACTTTTAGGGATGTGGCTAGGTTTTGAATTAGGGAATAAAAATAACTCGAATATCAAGTGTATCATAAATTGAGTCATTTTCTATTTGTCTTTGGACTATGCTATTTTGAATATACCTAAAGCCTATAGGAGCCTCATGAGTAGTGAAACTATATTTATTTATGCTCCAGATCACTGATACATTCTGGGTGTAGAAACCTTGGTAACAAAGATAATTGTTAAGGTAAAGTATGCCCCTATTATCAATTAGAAATAGATAGAGCCATCCATGGAACCTATGCTTAGATTTTGGAGTTCGGAATAAATTTGTTTCATGCCAGTTATCAACTATATGGCTAGTTGTGACATTTTTGTGGAACTGACTTGAATATTCAGAAATCATGCATCCTACTTGATACGATGAGTTAGACTAGTTCCAAAGAAAAAAAAAATTGTCATAGAAAACAGTTTTCTCATCACACACAAAGATCGAGAGAGGAATCCATTTCTAGAGCTGAATCTGCTATATTGTAGGCAACAGTGTACCTCAAGGTACACGATCTCCCTGTTGACATGAAGTAGAAGCGGATCAGAGAATGAAAGCTTAAAAATTTTAGAAACTTCAGTAATATTGTCGCAAGATGACATGATGTATGACAATGCATATTGATAAGAATCCAACATGATCTCGTATTACTTATGAAATGTGCTTCATAAAAGTCTGATGTTCATTCTAAACTCATGGAAAGTGAACAATCTTTATTTACACATGAATTTTATGTAAGCTATCATTGGTCTGATAGTTACCATGCAATCATGATTCAGTTCTGTGTCACTTGAAGGATCTATATTCTTGATATTTAGTAGTTTGGAGGCTGATTTATCTGACTGTCGCATTCTCCCCAATGTCCCCATCCCTAGCGTCATTCTTGTAATAGCCTTATAAAACGCTATATACTTTTATTAATATCTTTCTTTCTATCAACACTGCTGCAGGGCTTGTGTAATTAAAGATATATGTAATTGCAGACCTCTAGAACCTTACAAAAATGACCATGAACCGAGTTACAGATAGTGTTAATGATAGGTAAAGTTGTGAACTTATAGCCTATTAAGAAACTAGAGCATGGTTTTACATTTTTCTAATTTAAAATATTTTTGTTTTATCCTGTTGGTTGATTTCTGTATGGCTCTATGGCTTGCATCATATCTACAATTACAACATAAGTTCTTATCTGCAAGTTCTGCTCCTCTGGGTTGCATCATTTCTGTTGGTTGGTTGTTAGGTACCGGCGGCAAACAGCAGTGTTGAAAATGAGACTTTCATAAATAGGGTTAGCTTTGCGTGCTGATGTTGCTGAAGGTGTGGCTAGGGTCGCAACATTTCATCTTTGCCTAGCCAAGTTTCATACACTTGCATCTGATTGTTTCATGTTTAAATATGATGTCAGTTTAGGCTGCTTCATGTTTCTCTCTACAATTAGCCATCAGGAGTGAACCTAATATTTTGCTGCTCAACCAGCTACCCTGATACCATCTCGATTGCAGAGCAACCAGTTATGGCACAAGACCTTGGAAACGTCCCTCTGTAGGTTTATGTGTGGTTCTCTCAATTCGTGCCACCAGAAGGAAGAAATTGCCTTCTGTGGTTTCCTCCCCCTTTAACTAAGTAGATGTCTGTTACATTCTATAAGGCAGAGGATGCCATCTCTTTGTATTTTTCTGCATGATGATGGATCTGTCTAGATATGGTGTTCCCACCAATGTTGTTGCATACATGTTAAATGCTTTTGTTCTTCTAGATCTCATGAAATAATACTTGATTACTTTCTTTTCATGCTGGCATCATCTCTGCCTTCTCAGCCTGCCTGAACCATGATTTCATTAATAAAAGCTTACATATTTACCAAGAAAATTAAAGAATTTCCATTTCCCACTACTTGACCAATCAATAAAAGGAAGGCAAAAGGATTTGGTTACATAACTTCTGTCAATATAACTATTTCTGGCCTCAGGGTAATATTTCCTAAAATGTTACCGGAGATGGTACAATACGAAAATATCATTCATAAATTGTACTTTCTAGATAGTGTCACATGAAATTTCCTGGCAAACTCTCACTCAAGCTGGTTTGATTGGTAATTTAAACTCCTGTGGTCGACATAATTCTAAAAACGAAAAGAAAAAAGAAATGGTATACTCTAAACGGTTAAGGATATTTCTGAAACTAAAATATATGGCTTAATTTTGCAGTACAAACCATATAAGGAATGTCATTGCACTGTGACATCTTTCCTTGCTGGCCCCATAGAGGGGAGACTTGTTGACAAATAGTTCAAGGTGTGCTAGCTGGCTTGATTCTCTTCTCCATTTGAAGTTCATCCCTAACTATATTCTTGCAGTTAAATTTTCTGTCGTACTTAGGTTCCTTTGTACTTGCATGAATGGTGTAACGTCTTTTCAGTATTAGACTGCATTAATGAGTGATGGATTTAGCAGCCAATACCCATTGTCCTCAATGGGGACAAGAGAAGGGGACCAATGGGTTTCAAGTCACTCTGTAATCCTTGCTTAGTGGCTTTTGTCCCAAAAACCTTTGTTGATGCCTACCTCTTTATCCGACATCCCTTGGGACCCTTGTCTGCTCCTATTATCAATTTTTCAATAATTACATATATTTTTGAATTGGGGTATCACCTACTTTAAAGTTACATGCTAATTTCTTGAAATACTGATGTGTGTTTGAAATATTGATATCTCTCAAGTATATCACACTGCATTAATATTTTTAGTAAATTGCTTGAGATATCTATTATTATTTCATTTCTTGATGAAAAGGACACAATTTCATCATCAATGTTTTATATTAGAGAAGATTTGTATGCAACACCACACATGGCTTGTAGTGGATGAAAAAGCCTGAAATTTCCTTGCCATGAAAATCATGATATTTTTTTAGCTCTTGTATCAGATTTCTGTTGAACTCATTCAAGGACAAACAATACAGCTACGTGTGTCTCAAGGACTCTAGTGGTAGTGGTATCATGTAATTTATCCATTTCTGCAAGTGCCTTGAGGATGAGAACATATCTATTGTCCTTTTTTACATTTGTTTTTATGCTGTAAATTGTAAGTACTATAGAATTTTGCAGTTGGTTTCTAATTCATATTTGTGTGTTTTTAGTTGGAAAAATTATACAAAAGATATTTATAAAATATATATGCAGGGATTAAACACTAAATTAATTAATTTAATATATACTTATATATTAACCTCCATTAAATATCACGATTCGGTTGAAGGGTTTATTGTTTTTAAGTTTGAAAAAAAAATTCATAATAATTTAAACAGAAATATTTGATTGAAATTGATATTAAAAATTGTTCCCGCCAGATGTAACAATTAAGTTAAATAGAGAACTAATCAAAATAAATCTCTAAAAATAAATAACAACAAAAGTATATCAAAATTTAAAGTAAAGATGTGCTAACAACATATTTTAATAATACAAATTTTCTAGTTGAAATTTTATAATAAGTAACATTGACCTAATTTTAATTTTCCCAAAAGTATACATGTAATTTATTCTTTGAAAGAAATTTGACATTGATTTACTTCTTCAATTAAGAAAATTTTCATCAAAATCATTCTTTATATATTTAGTGAATATGAGTGAATTAATATCACACCACTCAACTCATATATAGTGGGACAATCGGTCTCTATTTAGAGTTTGATGGAAAAAAATCGAATTGGTTGAATGTAAGTATGAGTTCCGGTTTTTCATCCTTTAAAAAGTCGAGAATGGGGTAGAGATGAATAATGTAATCCTACCTAATTTCGTTTCGGTTCTGACTTTATATTTAAATTTGAATTTTAAAATATTAATCTTTTTTAAATAATTCTTTTTCCATTATATATAAAGTTATTTTTATATGTTTCACACTCTTTATTTTTTTTTCTATCCATTTTTCATTATTTTATCTTTTCTAATCTTTAGATGAATCAGTTTATTACATTATTTTCTCTTTTATATTTTGCTTCTTCACATTTTTTTAATTTCTTAAATCAAGTTGGTTTTTTCAATCTTTTTAATTAATTTGACAAACACAAAGGTAAATTTTTTTTATTTTTTTCTAAATATTTTACATCAATTATAATAGCAACTTATATTATTTTTTTAATTTATCTTTATTAGGTTTTATTGTGTTATATTTTTTGAATTTTATTATTCTTATTTATCATATATTAAAATTTATTTTAATAAAATAATTGTATTTGAAGGATTAAAAAAATGATAATTAAAACTTGTATTAATTTGAACTAATTAAATAAAAATTAAATTATTAAATATTATTTTGTAAATTATATATTTTATATTTATTAATATTTTAAAATATAACTTAAAAATAATTAACTTATATATAATCCAATGATTAAATAGAATATTATGATATATAATAATAATTTTAATAATAATAATACTATAAGTATTGATAAAATATTTAATATAATATAATAATAATAATAATAATATTATTATTATAAGTATTTTATATTTATTAAAATATATATATATATTAAATATTTCTTTTTATATATATATATATATTAATATAAATATAATAGATTAAAATATATATTTAATTAATAATAATAATTACGAATTATAAAATAATAAATATTTATTTATATATGAAAAATATATAAAAATATTAAAATTAGTTTATTATAAATATAATTATTTTTTAAAATAATATAAAATAAAAATGAAAACTGGAAACTTAATAAAAATAAGAATTAGAACTTAATTAGTGACCATGAAGACAAAAATAATTAGAAATAAAAAAGGTAAAAAATTAGAGGTAAAACCCGCCGCCGTCACTGTACCTATCTATATATGATTGATGAATGCGTTCCATTTTTGTTTTCAGAAGATCAAATATATATATATATATATATATATATGTCACATTATTATCCATGTGTTGCATTAAATTCAACTTTAGGGACCAAATTAATTATGCTTGAATACAATACTGTTTTATTTTGCTGTAATTGCGGTTTTAATTACTATCTTTTGTCAAGATGTGGCACGAAATTTAAATCAAATTGACGCTAAAAGAAAAGCTTAATTTTTTGTGTTTCTTCTGTCAATCTTGAATTATTATTATTTTTTTCTAATTCTTTGCTACCGTACATATTTTACAGAGATAGATAGTGATGGATCTTGATCGATCAAATAATATATTTTAATAAATAATAAATAAATATAAAAAAAATTAAAATTGACCGATCAAATAATATATTTTAATAAATATAAAAAGATAAAAAAGTTATAAAAGAGTGAAAAATTAAATTTATAAATATATAAAAATAATTAATAATTATTAAGTTGAAAAAGGTTTAAATTATAAATATTAATGTAAATTATAAAACTTTAAAATTAATCATTAAATTAAATTTGGAAGATAAAAATTATCAATGTTAATGTAAATTATATAATTTGGGGAGAGTCACTTTTTATAGCAAGATCCATTACTGGTGATAAATAATTTTTCAAACAAATTATTTAAAAATATTTGCATGAAAAGATATTTTTTAAGAAAAAATAGATTTTTTAAGAAAAAATAGATTTTTTTTAAATAAATAAATGGGCAAGCTTGTTTATAAAGGAGAAAGTCTCATTTCACAATACAAGTGATTTATTTTTTTTACTTTTCTTATTGAAATTGCAAATTAAAACATGAATTTTATTTTATTTTTTACACCTTTTATATATACATGGAAATGGTGTATCTATACACAACAAATTTCTATTTTAAAAGATTGTAAATAATTCATATTTATAAACACATTTCTTAACAAAATAAAAATATGTAAATTATTTTTATAAACATGAATTAAAATACACAAAATTCATTTTTAAATTATGAATTTTTAATTTATATTTTTATAAATAGGTAAATGAATTCTAAATTTACATTTCAAAACATAATTTTTAAACCACAACTTTTTTTTTAAATTACTTTTTTAATATACCCCAAGTTATAGTAAAGAAAACCCAATAAGTACGATCAAGTGAAACAAGTTGCAAGACGGGGTCATATTTTAACGTTCACCAAACCCTGTTTGGTGTGTGACACAAACAGAGCCTTAATAATGAAAGCTTTTCTTTCAATGCTCTGCTTTATAGTTCGGAGACATATTTGCCCCACTAGCCATAGATTTGCCTAGGGAATATTTTGACGACGGGCTTACTTATGCCATAAATTCTTCATATATTAGTGTCGTGTCTTGATTAAGACTCTAATCTGACCTATAAAAAAATGGCATCACTCTTGTAGACACATGGAACACCTCTTTTTTCTTGCTTCTTCCATGAAACAATTATTTTGTCTAGAATATCTCATCCATGTAATAATGGTCCAATAGAATATGCATATCAATGTCCTTTAGGTTTCATGCACGTAATGAATATGGTACCATGGGATATTTTATCTCTTGTGTTCAACCTTATGTTGCAGCAGTTGGGATGTGATCATCATCCAACTGATGAAATCAACATTCCAATATGGTCATATCCATCCATTTATAAATATACACTGCACAATAAGACAAGGGCACCCTTAGCAAAATCAACAACATGGTCCCTATTGTTTCAGAATTTTGGTTTCTGACATAACTTCCCAAGGATTTGAGCTAACTCTTGGTTTCCTTATTCAGCATGTGTGCTTGCAAAGATTCCCTTTGCCTGCTTTTCATTTTACTGAGCATAAAAGCTTTGGGGGCTACACATTCTAAAGCACATCACTAGTTCTATTCTGCCTTTTTTTTTTTCTCTAGATTCTTAATGTGCCACTTCTGAATAACATGCATGATTCATGAACCTCTTCATGCTTTTCATTAAATATGACTTGGTATGATAAACTAGCCCCAAGTTCTAGAAACAAAACCGTCCAACTCCCTTTGTAAAATTTTTAAAGCAGCAAATGATTAAAAAGGAAGGGTGAGGTTAACTTCTGATGCAACAAGACATTATGGGTCTAGTGGGGCTCACATCTCTGTTTTTCTTTTCTTTTCTTTTTTTCTTTTTTCAATTCCAATTATTAAATTTCATTGTCTCTTGCCAGACAGCCATGTACTCAATTGTTGGAGAGAGATGATATGATATGATATATTAAGGTATATTATATATATATTTATATATATATATATATATGTGTGTGTGTGTATATATACACACACAAGTTAAAAGATATGCTGCATAAGATTAAGAGGAGAGGCTTTAAGGCTTTCCTTTACACTGTCCAAATTGTCAATTATTTCAAGTACTACTTCCACACATTCAAAGTTGAAACCATGGAAACTTCTCATCCTCTTTCTATTGAAAGTTTCTCTTACAGTTGGTTAGTGAACCTGAAGCCATCCATAGAAAGCCTTGATGGCTCCCTTAGAGCTTCACTTGATGCTTCTGATGAAGCTTCCTTCATTGAAATGGACCCAAGAATGCCACCTTCTAAAAGATTCTTCGGAAACTCCCAAGATTTCAAATTCGACTTCCCAACTTCACAGTCCCCTCTCACTCTTGTTGATGCTGATGAGCTCTTTTCCAATGGTTATCTCATGCCCCTTTTTGTTGAGTCTTTGAAAATGGAAGCGTATGAGGCCTCAGATGCCAATCCAAGCCTACCTTCCTCATCACATGTGCCAAAAAGTGTGGTTCCAAATGGTCATTCTAGATGCCCTTCATTAAAAAGGTGCAGAACATTATCGAGGAGAATATTTCAGAAGTATCTCAACTTCTTAAGGCCCTTGTGTAGAAGATTGAGGAGTGGCAAATCAGGTTCAAAACCTGAATCTGTTGTTAAAAGAACTGAGTCAGCAAAGAATAGGGGTTACTATTCTGAAACATCCCCCCGGATTAGTGTAGCTTACTCTGCTGATGACTGGCGCAAGTCCTGTGATTCCGAAAGTTCAATTTATGAAGCAGTTCTCCATTGCAAAAGATCCATTGGTATGTTCAAGTTCTTGTCTATATCATTAAGCATGTGTTATGTTCGAGGTTTTAAATTATAGTAAGGGTTGTGATCTCGTTGCAATCTTTGACACTGCAACAAATTGAGACAAATGAGGTTGTGATTACTCGAAAATTGCAGCTTTAGATATATTTCTAAAACTTAATTGTGTTTCCTTGATAAAAAATTTCTTAATTTTTTGTGGATCTAACATAAACATGTTGACACTGTACTTATTGCAGAGAAAATGAATTAAGGATGCTGCAAAAGGGTTGCATTTGGAAAAGGGTTGCATTTGGAGATAAAAAAAAATGAAAGAGAAAGAGAAGATAAAGGGAAAAGAGAGATGATCAAAGCTACACCATCATCAGCCAGTCCTCTGTTCCATTCTCCTCTGCTTGAATGATTAAAAGTTGTCAATAGCAAATAAAGATGTGATTGGTCAAGCATTGTTCAAGGACTATGATCAAATTCTAAAAAAAAAAATGAAGAAAAAATATAGTAAAATTTTGTTTGTTCATCTGATTTAATATTTAATATGGGAAGGAACACTTTTACTGAAGATGAGAGAATCTGCTTCCTATTTCAGTGAAGTTCACCAACTGATTTTGGAATCAGAAATGTGTACTACAGATCAATTATGTATATAACAATTCTGATAACTTGGTATATATCTTTTTCTTGTGTTGTTGCCTCCCTATTCCATAAACATGATCTATTATGACATGCCTTGAAAGAGGGTTTTTGATTTTATTCTTCTCCCACTATCTTTCTCTCTGTCTCTCTTTGTTCTCTTGTGATGCGAATGAAAGAGGGTTTTTGATTTTATTTTTCTCCCTCTATCTTTCTCTCTGTCTCTCTTTGTTCTCTTGTGATGTGAAAGTAAGAAAACGGGAAGAGTGAAAAGTTTTGAGATAAGAGATTTCAGGAGGTGAGAAGTTTGAAAAATTCTTTGCAAACTTGACAGGCATGTCAGTTGTGCAAATTTCAAGGTAATGATGAAGAAACGACACTTAAGGAGACAAAATCTGACGACAAATGTGCGGAGCCATTGAATTGTATGTGGACACTTTTAGCACAAATTCATAATAAATCCAATGATGGAGAAATGAGTGATTTTTTTCTTTTAATTTTTATTTTATACGTGTGCTCCCAGTTATTACCATTTGCTATCTTGAGAAGTGTAGTGTTGTTTCTGACAAAAAGATGCAACAGGAAGAACATGAAGCAAACTGTATCAAACTAATAGCTTGCATAATTATTGAATATGTTGTTATTTCTTATAACTTTAGGTCTTAAAATGGATAATTAGTATAAAAAAAGAAAATAAAAAAAGAAAACAAATTAAAAAATTACAAATTTATATTTTGATTGATTATTAATATATTCTCATATCCATTATATAAAAAAAATACATAGTCAATTATGTTATAATTTTTTTTTTATCATTCTACATAATTCTTCCCATTAGAGAATAGGAAGTATAAGTTTTCAAAAATAAAAAAATATTTATTATGTGTTGAAAATATAATTTTCGTTGTATTTATTGCTTCTCACAAATTAATTATTGAATCCAAACAAATACTAAAAGATGGATTTATATTTAGTCTAAAATAAAAGAAGTATTCATACAAAATTATATGGAGGAGAACTTAGATTCTTCTACTACTTATAGTAGTAATTCTTGCATGATAAAAAATGAGAATCCTCTCTACACATAAATCTAGTGATTTAGGTTTCGATGTTTTTGACAATTTTGTGTGAGATCCCAAGTTTTGTAATTACAAGAAATTCAATGTAGGGTCAAAAGGATTTATGGCCTCAATATTGAGTTGACTTTACAACGTATTTATTAACTTTATTCTTTGTGATGACCCTAAATTCTTTTCATGAAAATCATTAACTGGGTTACAATATTTAATTCATAGTTCAAACAAGATCATATTGTTTTTGAAAAAAAAAATGTTGAAAAATAAAGCTACCACTTACATGTCTATCAGTTTTGGAAATGCTCATGATAATCGGTTTTTATTATTTTTAAAATTCATGGTTAATATTCTTCTTTTATTTGGATGGGTATTTTAAACTAATTAACGTGTTGAATTCATGAATGCTAAAAAACTCGTCCATTAATATAATATACTTCTAATTTTAATTTATTATTTATATATATCTAAAAAACTGAGAAAAATTACACACACACACACACACACACACATATATATATATATATATATATATATATATATATATATATATATATATATATATCAACATTTTTTTTTGCTTTCCTCTCTTGTCAATAGTGAAGAAAGATGAAATAGTATTGAACATCCTATTTAGTTTTATGCTCTCATTGCATGTAAATATATTTAAATCAATTTTAGCTAATTTAACTTGTTTCGAAAAAAAATTTAATTTAAATGAAGTTTATTTTTAATGTTTTTTTTTTCAAGTTTCAAGAAAAGAAGGATAGTTTAATAAAAAAAAGTACTTATTTTTTAAATTAACCTACCACAATTACTACTAAATAATTGTTTTATATCATTTTTTTGTTTATATAAGAATTTTTTTTATTGAGGTAGAAGAATTTCTAGCATTTTGCTATACATTCATTAATTGATTAGAATTCTCTATGGAATTAAAATTAAACCAATTATAATTATTAATTAGTGCCAAATGGTGTAAATTGACAGAGTTGTTTTTAATGAAAAATTTAGGTTGAGTGGAAGCTTCCTCTTATTAATGGTATGGTGTCCCCACTTAGTTGACTACTTCCATGAGACCTATACAGATAATTAATGCACCAAATTCATGAATTTCATTAAAGTCATATATATTGGTGGATGGCTATGGCTTGTTCTAACTTGTTGCTTATCATTAGGAAAAGTTAAAGGAATTTCTAAGAATATTAAAGTTAATGAACATATATTAAAATATGATTAAAAATAAGATTTCAATATAATATTACATAGGGTCCCTAGTGCTAGGTTAGGTTTATTGTTTTGGCTTGGCAATTAAGTTTGTGTTTTCGTGTGTATAAACAACCAATCATAAGAGGTTTTGTGAAAGCAAATTGTATTTGTAAGAATTTGTAAAGTTGAGTAGAAAGCAATGCTTGGAATCATACAAAGTTAATCAAAGCAGTACACGATGAATGCAAACCCTAATGTGGAAATGTTCTTCTTTGGATTATTTGTCTTTGGGCGCGAGTTCATAGTGTTTTGAATTGTGCTTTTTAAAATCGAAAGTAGGTAGCTATCATAGGAAAACATAAAGCATGGTCCAAGACAAAGCTTTTGTAAGAAATGGTAACGTTTATTTCCAAATGTATAAGATGGCTTGGTGCATGAAATTTGCACTAACTATAACTTCTATTCACAAAAATAAAAAGACCTACAAAAAGTGAGTGCTTGAAAGATAAAGCATGTACGATTGTTTAAGTTTTGAACCTCTTGAAGGCCACGTCTTATCATGTTGTTATGCCTCATTGTGAGTGATTCTTTAGCTTATGGACCATATGGTAGACCCCACCTCATGCATTTATCTTATCATCACTTTCTAACACTGAGGTCTGTGAATGGACACAGTATCAGTTTCTTGTACCCAAATTATTTACTGTTTCTCTGTCTCAGTACAATTATCAGTTTGAGTAAAGCTATCATCATATAGAGATATTCATCCAACAAACTACATAACTCAGTTTGATAATACATCCAATTCAATTTCATTTTATATTGCTTAAAAAAGTTAATTTAGCTTAAGTATTATATTTGTCTCTAATCCAATAATAATATTAGTGAGAGTTTAATTTTAAAAAATAAAATAAAATTTTTAATTCTGGATTAAAATAATTAAATTGTTTAGATAAAAAAAATAATTTATTTAAAAGATAATTATAAACAAATCTTATAAAAAAGGCAAGAAAATTTAAAGAAAACATCCTATATTAAAGAAATATATGTTACTCATCTATCTTTAGTGAAACTTCTTTGTTCATATATATATATATATATATATATATATATATATATATTTCATTTTTTTTACATGAAATTATTCTTTAAGATGTGTGTGTTTAACACTCCAAATTCAATATATTTTATGATAAATCCTTTTCTTTATTATATTAAGAAAGTATCTAAAAGGATAAATATATTTAATGTCTTGAAAATATATAAAAAACACTCAATATTTATTATAGAAAAAGATAGAAAGATTAGTTGGAAGATGTTTTGTATGATGAGAGTGATGAATGGAGGTTGCAAAGCAATTAGTACAACACTTTGTGCTGAGAAAGTTAGAATCTAGCATACTGCCATGTAGATGAAACACAAGGCATTGTTGTGTGTTGGGAGCACCATATATACAGGTATTAGTTACCACCTAATGCTGAGATGTAACCAGCAATTATGGTTCTAACAATGAGAGTCATTATGAGAATGACAATCATAGTGGAAAATGCTGGGAAACCCCAAAAGACAGGCAACTTCCACAGGCACATCAACATGTCAGTGTCTAACTTAAACTTGTCTGCATAAAAGATAGAGGCAAGCTGCCTCTTTGAAAGGTAAACTGAAACTGTTAACAGCATAAAAAATCATTGTTGCTGACTTAGATAGAACTAGAAGTAGCCTAGTATGGAGTATATGTTAATGAATGCCATGCATGCCACTTTAGTATTCTTATTCTACAAGTTGATTATCCCATTGGAAAGGTCTATGTTGTAGGCACTACTTTTGGTTTAACTTCACCTTAAAGGTTCATTCTGGTGCTGTTGAAAAGACATGATAAAAACATAAAATGGTCCCAAAAGTTATGGGCCCAACATGTGATGGGTCTGGGAGGCTTAAGTGTGAGTGAGTCATTTCTTTATGGAATCTAACCCAAAGTTTTGCTGGGCCAATGTTAGCCATTGATAGTGGTAAGAGAGTTGGCTAAGAGCTACAAGTTCATCACATGCCAACAGGAGAGAGAAGGGGACATGGACAAGATGTGCTAGGAGAAATGCCAATGTCTGATAACTCTGCTTTCTCTGTTTCTTTCTACTTCTTTTTGTCTTCCTCGTTGGATTGTATACTTTGCGGTGAGAAAAGCACAACAGTGCCATTATCACTTTGCTTCTCTCTTGTTTCTACATCAGCTTA